TTAAGTACTATTATGAATTATTTTTTAGGGTTTTTTAAGGTAATACTGTAAATCAATTAATTTTGGGTGTAATTTGTCGGATTAAGCAATTTTTATTGCTCGATTTCGAATGAAGAGGAATTGTGGCTGTGTTTTTTGAATTTTTTTTTTTGGATGATCGATTTTTAAAAAATCCTTTTGAAAAATCATGATTTTTTGAAAAATCGTGAAAATTGTGACCATGTTTTGATTATCATGAGGAGTTAAACTGTATTTTTAATTTTTATTGTTAACTTTGTAGTGCAAAAAATTGCATGTTGATAGATTATTGAGGCAAAAAAAACACATGTTCTTAAATTTTTAATGCAAAACTAAATTTTTTAATTTTAATGCATAAAATGTATGTATACGATTGATACTTATTTTATTATTTATATTATCTTGATTGACTATATCATTGTAAATATTATTTGTGGCATGTATATATATTATTGGTATTAACTGTATGAATATCAATGTAAAAAAATCGTGGCATGTATGATAAATATATTATCTTCGCATTTTTCAATTTTATTATTAAATTTTTATTGCAAAAAAATGTATGTTGATATATAAATTGTATATATATTCTTGATAATTGAGTTGTAGGCATATTTAGAGCTTGCATTTTTTATTATATTATCTTGCATTTTTTTAATTGAGATGTACGACTATTGTTTATCATTTTCATTGAGTTGGGATTGTGGCCACTTTTGTGTGACGTAAATTAAATGGCAAACAATAGTTCATGTAGGGAAAGAACATATCAATATTCGCATATTCCTGCAAAAAAATGAAACATTGTAATGGAGTACCCTCATTTTTTATTGGATTCCTGGAAAATAATATTTATAATGAATTTTAATAATTTTTTCGGATTTTTTTTAAGGTTTAATCCGACCGAATCAGCAGATTCCTTATCCAGATCGCCGATTCACCGATCCAAGGTGCCCGATCCGGGTCATCGATCTGTTTTTTAAAACACTGGTTCTACTATATCAAACAGTAATTAAAAAATCGGCAAGTCCTAACGGACTCGCCCAAGTCAGCACTAGAATCGGTTCCCCCGTGTCCACACTCCCATTGAGTTTATGTTCCACTATATCCAACAGTGATTAAAAAATCGAGGAGTTGCAACGGACTCATCCCGATTCCCCCCATGTCGATTCACCCCTATTTCCCCCATGTCACAGTGATTAAAAAATTGACGAGTCACAATGGACTCGCCCCGATTCCCCCCATATTGATTCCGGGGACTTGCCCGAGTTGGCATTGGAATCGGTATCCCTGAGTCTGAGGGACCACACTCCCACTGAGTTTATGTTCTACTATATCCAACAATGTCCGAGGGACCACACTCCCACTGAGTTTATGTTCTACTATATCCAACAATGATTAAAAAATCGGCGAGTCGCAACGGACTCACCCCGATTCCCCTCATGTTGATTCACCATGATTCCCCCCAATGTCGATGCACCCCGATTCTCCGCATGTCAATTCAACAGTGATCATGACGTCATGAGTCGCTTGGTTCTTCTACACTAAATCATTGCATGAGATGTGATCATGACGTCATGAGTCGCCAGGTTCTTCTACACTAAATCATTGCATAAGATCATGACGTCATGAGTTTCCCCCATGTCGATTCACCCTGATTCCCCCCATGTCGATTCCCCGCATGTCAGTTCTACACTAAATCATTGCATGAGTTGTGATCATGACGTCATGAGTTCCTCCCATGTCGATTCACCCTGATTCCCCGCATGTCAATTCTGCACTAAATCATTCACATTGAATCATCGCATGAGATGTGATCATGACGTTATGAGTCGCCTGGTCCTTCTACACTAAATCATTGCGTGATTCTTTTAATTGCATGAGATCATGACGTCACGAGTCGCTTGGTTTTTCTACACTAAATCATTGCATGATTCTTGTAATTGTTTCACCTGGTTCTTCTACACTAAATCATTGCATGATTCTTGTAATTTAAATCATTGCATGAGATGTGATCATGACGTCACTAAATCATTGCATGATTCTTGCAATTTAAATCATTGCATGAGATGTGATCATAACGTCATGAGTCGCCTGGTTCTTCTACACTAAATCATTGCATGAGATCATGACGTCATGAGTCGCCTGGTTCTTCTACACTAAATCATTGCATGATTCTTGTAATTGTTTCAACTGGTTCTTCTACACTAAATCATTGCATGATCATTGCATGATTCTTGTAATTTTTGGGTTTTTTGTATATGACGTGGGCATTCTTATAATTTTTTGGTTCAAATGTGTCACAAAGGTCATAAACCTAGGGAACACCTCTAGGCCACGTGTCCCTAGCCACAATGCCTCAAGCTTCCTCATTCGTTCACATGCGCTTTGAGATGGTACCAATGAAGTATTTATCTATTTCAATCTTCGTCCACTTTTTCAATGTGGGATATTGTGAATAAAAGGTAGTAGCTTGAAAATGTTATATAAAATAACATTTTATTCCGGTTAATAACATCAAAAGGGTTGCGGTATAGCAGTTATTGCATCATTCCTTCACATTGGAGGTCACTGGTTTGAATTTTGGCAACGTTATTTATTTCTTTTTTTTTGTCAAAAAAATAAAAGGTTTTTGTCAAAAAAAATAAAAGGTAATAAAAGGTTATTGTCATTAAAAAATAAAAGGTCTTATTAAAAAAAAAGAAAAAAAAGGTAATACAACAAGTATTTCTTTTAAAAAAATTGTTGTATTACTTGTCAAAATAAATAAATAAAAGGTTCTTGTTAAAAAAAAAATACAAAAGGTAATACAAGAAATATTTCTAGTCAAAAAATAAAATAAAAGGTTATTGTCCAAAAAAATTAAAGGTAATACAACAAGTATTTCTTGTAAAAAATGATGAGCAATATCGATCAGCCATAAGCTTTGAGTTTGAGGATGGAATCCCCCCGAGAAGGGTTAGAATGGTAGTTCCCGCTCCTTGGGACGTACTGAATAAATGACCACTGGAATCGGGGTTTTGGGTATAAAGATTCCACTGCCCTGTAAAAAGTGGCCTCGCTCCTTGGGAGGTACCGAATAAATGACCATTGGAATCGGGGTTTTGGGCATAAAGATTCACTGCCCTGTAAAAAGTGGCCCCAAGCCTTGAGGAGATGGCAATACATCTTTTTGTCAAAAAAATAAAAGGTAATAAAATGTTCTTGTCATTAAAAAATAAAAGGTCTTATAAAAAAAATGAAGAAAATAATGTAATACAACAAGTATTTCTTGTCAAAAAAATAAAATAAAAGGTTCTTGTTAAAAAAAAAAACAAAAAGTAATACGACAAATATTTCTCATCAAAAAATAAAATAAAAGGTTATTGTCAAAAAAAATAAAAGGTTATTGTCCAAACAAATAAAAGGTAATACAACAAGTATTTTTTGTAAAAAAAATAAAACGTTTTTATCAATAAAATAAAATAAAATACAAAAAAATAAAAGGTTTTTATCAAAAAAATAAAATAAAAAGTAATACAACAAGTATTTCTTATACAAAAAATAAAAAGTTCTCGTTAAAAAGAAATAGAAAGTAATACAAAAGAATAAAAAGTAATGCCACAAATATTTTGGAGTAAATGAACAGTGCCTTTGGGAGCATGAAATACTTTTTCCATGATCCTACGAACCGTTTGGCAAAAAACCACCAAAGACCGTTGGATCCGATGAATGGGGCCGACCGTTGCATGAACCCTAACTATGGCCGTTGGATTGTTAATCCTCTATTAAAACGTCCCAATCTCTCGATTTCAAACCCTTTCAAATTCTCTTTCTGCAACTAGGGTTTGCTCCTCTCTTTCTCTCTAAGTTTACTCTCTCTTTCTCTGTCGCCGGTGGGAAGAGCTTCTCTCTGATCTGCAAGGGAAGAGCATTCAAACGGGATTCTCTTTCTCTCTCTAAACTTAATTTTGGAGATTCTCGCTCTAAAACTAGGGCATGCATGTGTGATAGAAACTGGAAATCACTTCCTCTAACAGGTAATTTCTCTCTCTAAATCCCTCTTTCTTCTCCCACCGCATCTTCTTGTGTCTTCCCCATTATCTTTTTCAAAGTCATGCAATTTTTTTTTTCATTTTCGAACCTTTTTACTTAATTGTAAAGTTTTGGTAGCTTTTGTTCTGAGTTTTTCTTGAGTAATTGGAGATTAAAAAGGCCGTAATTTGTGTAATTTTGTTGTTTCATCAGGTGAATTTGTACCACAGAAATTGTCTATGTGCCTTGGCTTTCATGGATGACCATTACCCCATCTGTAGTGATCTCTCTATTCTCAATAAGGTGATATCTGATTTCTATTTTTGGTTTTAGGGTATTTAGGCATCTCTTTCTGCTTCATTCAGCTACAACTATTTGTATATTATATTACCTTGCTGAATTGCATTCTAGCAGTACATTTACGTAATTGTTGTTTTGAGTTTTGAAAAGAAAAACTTTAGAGTTTTTATGATTTGGGTACTCAATTTCTATTGATTTTTTGTTTTAGGGCATTTAGCCATCTCTTTCTGCTTCCTTCAGCTTGCGTATTATATTACCTTACTGAATTATATTTCTAGCAGTACATTGACATAGTTGTTGTTTGGAGTTTTTAAAAGCAAAACTTAAGAGTTTTTATGATTTGGGTGCTCAATTTCTATTGATATTTGGTGATTTATGGTAACATACCAAAGAAGGCCTGGTATCTTTATCAGTTAGAAACTCTCTCTCTATTTTCTCTCACTAACCAGGTGTATCTCTCTCTCTCTCACACACACACACACACACACACACACGACACACACACACACACACACACACACACACACACACACACACACACACACACACACACACACACGACGTAGTACGTCTTCTCTTCTCTCTTCCTCCCCCCTCC